ATAAAAATAATTAGTGAACATGTCCTATTACAAAAATAACTGCTGTACCTTGTACTTACTTTACTCTATTTTTACGTTGATGAGGAATAAATCCAGAAGTTTATGTACACTAACCATATATTCATCCTGAGCTGCAGTTCTAGGCTTTCGTTTGTTTTGTTTTGTGGGTTTAGATTTGGGGAGGTTGTTTGTTTCTTTTGTCGTTTGTTAATTTTGAGATACAGTCTTTCTATGTAGTCCTGGTTATGCTGGAACTCACAGAGATATGCCTCCCTCCAGAATTCAGAGGTCAAAGGCATACACTACTACATCTACCTTCAGCCTCACGTTTTTTAATCTTGGCATTATAACATATTATAAGCTTTTGATTTTTCTCAACCTGGCATATAAAGCTGAATATTTCATTGCTCTTCAAGTCTTCTACCTTCAGCCTCATGTTTTTAAATCTTGGCATTATAACATATTAAAAGCTTTTGATTTTTCTCAACCTGGCATATACAACTGAATATTTCATTGCTCATCAAGTCAAAGTGTTTTAGGTAGAATTTATTAGTCTCTTCCTTATATATACTGAGTGTCAGGTCTTCCTAGAACATAATTATAACTTAAATAGTATTTACAGACTTATATTTCCACATTTCCTCAGTTCTAGGCTCTGTCATAATTTGTCATTAATGGAAAACCTTGTTCTGGTCCTACCTGCTGGGATGGACCTCCAACTCCTCGGACAGGGCCTGCTAATCCAGCAGGAGCTTGGGGAATAGGTACACCAGCTGGTACTCCTCTGCCAGCTGCCCTCCCAACCCCAGGGCCACCTGCAGCGCCAGCAAGTGGCACACGAGCAATACCAGTCTGAAATAAAAAAGATAGCTTAAACAACATCTCTATTTTGTTCAAATATGAGTGATTTTGTTCAAAGATAAACTCTTATCAATCATGTCAAAATCCATCTAGCTCCTATTAGCTCTACATACAAATACATGTGATGGTATAATGTAACAAATACTCTACAGCACCCTTGGCAAAGCCATACGCCATTCCAGCAAAGCTGAGCCACGTGATGGCTGCCATGCTGCCTGTGGTTTTCATCACCACCTGTTGCATACTTGAGAGACTTGTAATATTTGTACAACTTGGGGATATTGAACTGATAGACAATTTCTTATGAATCATTTATGCCTTTTCCCCAGGAATGCTGCTCCCAAGCTTCCCAAGTCAGTATTTAACATATATTCCCTTGTTTTTAGGGAGATATCCTTATCTACTTGAACGTCTTCTTTATGCTGTGGAGGTTGTTTCACACATAAAGAAGCCAGGTCTCTTCATAAGGCTATGAGACATTCTTGAAACATCTATCCCTGTACTTATACAGGAAAAAGATATTCAAAACAAAGTAAGCTTAAAAGGTCAACATGATTCGGTGGGCTAGAGAAGTTAGCCACAGTTCAAATTACAAGCCTCTACCCACTGTGCATTCAGTTAATTTTGTCGCATATATCTCAGCCCTACATATTGATAAGCAAAATATGGAGTGGAAAGATGATAAAAGTATGAGACTTCATGACCTCCCTTTCTTAGAAAAGTTAGCACATGGCAGAGTCACTGTAATGTCATATGTGGTCAGACATACAAAAAAATTCTATAAAGGTGTAAACATTGTATTATGCCAGAATTTGAATAATAACTGCAGCAGGTTTGGCCTAAGGATTTTTCTTGGACACTCTGACCATTAAGGGTTAATAATACGGGGCTGGAGAGATTACTCAGGTTAGAAGCACTGGCTACTCTTCCAGGGTTCCTGAGATCAATTCCCAGTACCCACAGGGTAGCTCACAACCATCTATGAGATCTGGTGCCCTCTTCTAGCTGGCAGGCATGTGCAAGCAGAAAACTGTATATATAATAAATAAATAAATTTTTAAAAAGAGAGTTTCTAATACACTGCTTGGGACAAGGCAAAATAACCATGGTGGCTTAAAGATTTTGTTTTGGTCTAATGTCCTTGAAGCAATCAAACCTACCAGCCTGAGAACAGGCTGTCAAATGCCTCTAGATTCTTAGAAATTGGGTTATGGGGTTTCTGAGTGAAAAAAAAATGATAACTGTTTATTAATGATGTCAAAACTTGAGGGAAAATTATTGGAAATGAGAACTGTTCTGTCATAGTTTAATGATAGCTAAAATAAGAGCAAAAGAAAGTAAAACACATGTCCAAAACAAAAAATGGTATGATCTGTTTTGAAACATCATAAATGTATCCTTGCTTACTAAATTCTGTATAAATAAAGAAGCACCCTGGCTGTTAGTCAGGCTGCAAGATTCTCCCAACCACCATGGCCTGGCTCATTTCCTTTTTTTACCAACTTCTTACATCCTCTGCTGGGATCTTTCCAATGCCAGGGATAGCTCCCAGCTGTGCCCTTCAGATTTGGATTACATATTTTGAAATAGTGAACTTCACATAAACATAAAGAAGTCACTCCTTTACCACTTCCTTCCCAATAAAAATTCACTTGTACCTTCTGTTTTTGTAGTTCTCATATTCACTTTACCTTGTAATAGAAATAGCATGTTGCTGGCAGAATATTAGCATTGCTTTGGGCAAATTAAAATGCATGTCCTCTCAATACACTAGAAAAGAGAACTAAAGTATACAAGTCTAAGTCCAAACTTTATTGCTTTTCCATGCAGATCTGTGCACTGTTATCACATGTTCTCACCTGGGTTTCCAGTTTGCCCAGTGATTGTTCTTTAGAGTAGGACCAATATGTGTGTTTACTAATCATTGACTGAGGCCCCCAAAAAGCACTGTGAAAATTTATACCTTTAGTAATAGCAGGGTAACATAAAATAAAACTTCACTGTATTTTTAAAAATAGTCAGCTCCTTACCATAACTTAGGAAGTACCCAGCACATAGGTGAAATCATAAATCCTTCATTCCTGAATATATAACTAAACCAATTACTGACATTAAGTACTATGCACATTTTATTTGATTACATGAATTAGTGTCCCTCTACTATATATTAATGACATTCAAGTAACAAAGTATCATCAACATTAATGATCTGTTCTTCATGTATATATGAAAAACATGAAAATCTTGCCCTACATCTTTCTTACATCTTTAGGAGGTGGACCCTCCACAGTCATGGATACCAAGTTCTCTCCACGTAGCAAGACCAGACCCAAAACCCGTTTTTCTTCACGCTCTGGCTGTTTTGCATTCTTTGGCCTATAAATCAGGAGTAAACAAAAATCAGTAAAATAAATTTTTGTGATCCTTACTTATCAATGGTATCAATTAAGACAAAAACTGGTTCTAAGTTTCTCATGTAAACATTTATTACCTAATTACTCTGTGGACTTATTTATCATTCATAAGTAGTAAAAATTATTTTCCTATATATGCTCCCTTGATATTATCCAAATATCCAAAATGATCTTGTGCTGCAAAATATATATGCAAATGATATGACAAAGCATTTTAAGATTGGCAAAATTGAAATCTCAATTATACTAAAATTATAAGTGAATTAAAAGTAATTTTAAACAAATAATATTGATAGAATATTTGACAATGTAAGTTTTATTTTTGCCAACATCATTTGCATGCAGAGACATGGATGATCCAATTCTGAAAAGATAAGGTAAAATAACAGAATGGCCACATTAGATTTTCTTATTTCCCAGAACAAGCCTTACTTGATCTTTCTGAACTCATCACAATCACAGAGGATCAAATTCATATGCTTGTCAAAAGCCTTAAAGGTGCCAATGAAGATTCTTCCGTCTTGCAGGATACATCTCATTCTATAGTCAATGTGCTGCAGCATCTTGCTACTCTTACCCACAGTCTACAAATAGTAAAATAAAAGAACACCAATGGTAAGCTTATCTGTATTCTGGTTTTCTGTTTATTACCTACAGGTTTCTTTAATAAAGCCTCCCTTTTTTCCTCTTTTCTAAATACAAAATATCAAGCTGACTAAGTACCACTTTAGATAGCTCTGTACTTCTCAGAACCCTAATTAAGGACCTGTCATATCTAATTTGATTATAAAATGCATTCCTAAGATAGGAACCCCTCAATCTAGCTCCCCTTAAGAGTTTGCTAGTACAGTTTTTATGCTGTCCTTCCACCAAATGACCATACACTTTTAACCGATCACCTGGACCTCCATATTATTTTTTGTGACCCGAAAAAAAACCTCAATAAAAAAATTATAAATATTACCAATTCAATGAATTCATGATCACCCATTAGCTCTCCAAAGGGCTCCCAGATCAAATACACCCATCACTATTATTAAAAACCTTTTGATAATTTTTAGACAGGAATTAGTTAAGAAGATTGGCATTGAACTTGCTACACAGATAATGACCTGAGCTTTTATTCTTACTATCTCTATCACCCAAATGCTGGGGTTTTAGGTCTCAAACACAACACGTGGCTTTGGAAGTAACACCTTTTCCTTTGCAAATCTGTGTCCTGCAAATTTGTGTCCTAGACTTTCAGATTCAAAGCACTCTATTTAGGAGCATCTCTCCTTATTTACCTTTTTTTGACTATGTTAATGAAATAAAAGCTGTTATTTACAAGTGGTCTGTGTATGTTCTGCAATTGCATCTAAGAGTCCTCCATCTATAAAGTGGTCCCTTAAAGTCATACTCATTGACTAAAAACTAAATGATAAGACATCTCTCAGTATTCTTTCCAATGCTTTTGACCACCATTAACAGGACAAATGGAGGCCATAACTGTTATACAAAGGAATGAGCATAGAGATGTCTCTATGGATGAGTCCCTATTTCTAAATTTTAGAACATCCAAAACTGTACACAATGACAAACAATGATTTGAGGTCATTACAGCAGCTATCCAACTCTTTAATATACAACTTACCATGATTGCTGTTCCACAATAGCCGTTTCAACAGTAAAATATCAAGATCCTTAATACTTAGGGGAGGGCTATAAATAAAGGTGTGAATGCAGGTTCTTAGACACAATGTAAGCTTGACTGACGCTTCAGACAATGGATGGGTCCTGAGGAGGGAAGAACGTTATAACTATACTTTATTATAGATTAAAAATAACAATTTTCAAATAGTATATCTTCATAAATGTTTTCATATATAACAAAAAATAAATTTCAGTTATCCTTCTTAATACTCATTTCATCTACTAGATCCATAAAACCAATTGGCTACCAGTATTGCTAAGAATTCCTGGGTGTATGTTAGTGGATGTATTTAGAGGCCAGATATCAATGCTGTCTACCTTTCTGGTTAACATGTTAACAGAGCTTACTTTAAGCTCCCGAAATCCACCTGTCTCTGGCTTCCTAACAGTGATTTTAAACATTTAGTCTACTCTTCCCAGCACTTTAAAAAGATTTTTAAAATTTTTGTGTTCTGTCTGCATATATATTTGCACCACGCATTTGCCTGTTGCTCAAGGTCAGAAAATGGCATCAAATCCCTAGGAACTGATGTTACAGCTAATTGTGAGTCTCCATGTGGGTGCTGGGAATCAAACCCGGGTCTTCTGCAGAAACCAGACATCTCTCAAATCCCTGTTACTAGGTATTTATGTGAATGTTTAGAAAATCAGGTCTTCTGTCTTGCAAGGAAAGCACATTACCAACTGACCATCTTTCTAAACCCCATTAAGAATCAAATATTTATTTTTAAAATATTAAAATATCTTTAAAACACTGTACATATTTCAAAAACAACCTATACTTTTTTGTCCCCAAAGTATCAGTGTCTTATTTACTCCTTAGTTCAAAATCTACTTTTTGGCTTAACATGTCTAAAACTGTAGGCTCCCTCTTCAAAATCAAGATGGGTAATCTTTTCCCACCAAGAAGCAAGTATTACAATAACCAGCACAAACTGTAGGAGCTGATAAGTGGCATATGGCTTTAATCAGAGTATTCAGATTGCTGAAGCAAATCAATGCCTGGATGGCTGACAGCTTAAGGAAAGCCTGAGACTTTTAAAGCCTCAAAAAAGTAAATGTAATATACAATAAAGGACTTGGAATATAGCTCTATGGTAGACACTAATTAAATGTTAAACCATAAAATTTTTGCAAATATTTCAGCCTAGCCTAGAAGTTTTAATCATATTCCCTAGCCTTCTGTGTGCTAGGATTATAAGGCCACTCTGCCCAGATTTCACCAGAAGTTTAAACAAGAATCTGAAGTTAACCATGAGCATAAAAACTGTTTCTCTAATAAAACAGAGAAGGGGTTAAACACAAAGCCTAAGCCTGCCTTGAACCTACAATTGTCTTACTTTCTCAGTCTTTCCACTGCTCCAGTAAGATTATCCTTGAATTTTTAATCCTCATGTGATTCTAAGAAACTGGGAAAACAGGGAAGTGATAGAGCACCCTCAAGGGATGGGAAATATAACTCATACGAAAAATATTTTAAAAAGTCATAGAAAAATCTGATTATTCAAACTTTATAAAAATATACGTTTGAAAAACCATTTAATTGGAGTTACATGGGAATGATAATGTTCCTCACAGAAGCCACATTGTATCAAACTGTCAGGTGTGAAATACCTCCCTTTGGGTTAGTGCAGTGGGCTGGCAGACCCAACCCCAATAAAAATATAGGCTATTGTAATTGCTTTATCTTTCCCATCATAACCTGATGACAAGCCCTATTACTGTAGATAGCACATAGCTTACATAGAATAAAAATATCAAACTGGAACTGAGTCAGAAGCTCTTGAACTGCTAGCTAGCTTTCTAAGTCAGAAGATGCTACACGGGAAGCTGGAGAAAAGTCAGTCTTATCCATTTGTGAACCCTGTGAACTACAATAACAATCAGCCTGGGGATATATAACCCTTGGTGCAATGGGGGCCTGAATGTTATGGGAGTAACCAACAGCATTCTAATTTAAATATAGAATTTTAAAAATTGATTAATTCATTTTTTTTAGCTTTTTGAGATAATCTCTCTACATATGCTCTCCTGGTATGTATATGTGCCTGGCATAGAACTCAGAGATCCACCTGTCTATGCCTTCAAAGTGCTGGGATTAAAGGCATGCAACACCATGCCCAGCCAAGTTCATTAAATTTTAAAAACTGAAAACAAGATGGAGAGATGGCTCAGTAGGCTGAAAGCTTCCTGCTATGATTTTGCAGAGGACTCAAGTTCAGTTCTCATAATCCACATATGAAGTTTTCACCATATGTCTCCATCTCCATCCAGATCCAGGGGATCCTGATGCCCTCTCAGGCCTCTGCAGTTTCCTGAAAACACACACAATGTTTATTTTTTTAAATAATAAACAATTGAAGTTAAGACTCACTCCACAGGAGGGAGAGTGTGCCTGGCACTCAATCAAGAACCCCATATCAAAGGAGAATATAGGTAATATGAGGGAACTATTTAGTATTTTGTTAAGTTGTCATAGTATCAAACTGCCCTCTAAATATTTAACCTTATACCCATAGATTATTAGTTCATTTCTCACCTTTTATGCAGTGGATGGTGGTTAATAGACTTGTAACTGGTAAAAGTGCAGAAAACTAGTGACTTTGGAGTGCTCAGTCCTATATTTTATCACATCTCTACCACTCAGTCTAAGAGCCATTATAGAAGGGGTAAAAAGATTATGATCTCAGAGAACTTCTGAAAAATAGTGTCTTCTAACATGACAGGGTTGCTGTACTTACGAAATCTTACAGTAAATATATATGAAATGGCAATCAACAGTCCATCCATGTTGATTGCTTATGAGGCCTCATACTTTCCCTTACACACAACTGACAATTAAAAACTGATGGAGGTGAGAATGCCAGTTTACTTCATTGATGTATCTCACAGCCCATGTCCCAGTGGGTAGCACTATATGACCACAGTTAAGTTATTTAAAATTTTTAAAAATGAGAACAGGAAGTGAAAAGGACTTGATAGAAGGTCTAAGAGAAGTTAGGAAGAGTTGGAACTGGATGATTTAAATGCACTATACACATACATGAAGATAGCAAAGAATGAAGATAGCAAAAAATAATTCATGAAAGAATAAATAAATGAAGAGATTACTCAGCAGTTAAGAATAGTGGCTGCTCTTCCAGAGGACCCAGCTTCAATATCCAGCACCTACACGGCAACTCACAACCATCTGTAACACCATTTGGAGGAGCTCTGATGCTCTCTTCTGTCCACACATGGTACAGACATACATGCATGCAAAACACCATAAACATAAAATAAACTTTTAAAATAAAGAAAATAGCAAGTGTTATGGTCCACACTTTTAATCCCAGTACTCTGGAGTCAGAGTCAGGCAGTTTTGTTAGTTCAATCCTACCCTGTTCTACAATGTGAATTTTAGGCCAGCCAAAGGTATATAGTGAGATCCTGTCTGAATAAATAAACAAAACCTAAAAAAAAAATTACTCTAGTATGGTAGTACGTGCCCATTAATTTCAACATCCAGGTCATAAAGGCAGAAAGAAAAGGAGTCTAAGCCTTTCTTGGCCACAGAATGAATCCAAGGTTGACATGACATACATAAGCCTCAGTCTCAAAAACACAAAAAGGGCAGATGGATAACATGCAGAAGAAACCTCTAACTATAAACATATAATTATGTTAAAATGTTCAAATGAATTAGTTTGGGGAATGGAGATATCTCAGCAGTTAAGAAAACTACCTTATCTTCCAGAGGACCTGAGTTTAATTCCAGCCAAAATGATTCCTCACAACTATCTCCAAATCCAGTTTCTAGGAGAGCTAATGCCCTCTTCTGGACTCCATATGCACATGGTGCACAGGAATGCAGGCAAAACACTATACACAAATAGTATTTTTAAATTTAAAGAATTAAAGTCAGGTAGTGATAGTGTACATCTTTAATCCTTGCATTCAAGAAGCAAAGGTAGGTGGGTCTCAGAGTTGGAGGCCTGGTCTACAGAGTAGGGCTACACAGAAAAACCCTGTCTCAAAACAAAACAAAACAAAAAATTAATTGGCTTAAAAGAAAGAAAATGATTTGCAAAAGAAAATGAAAGCACTACATTTTAACAGCTTTTCTCTTAAAAGAATCTAAATAAATCTGTATCATAAAACATTATGGGCACTCGGGAGGCAGAGGCAGGCAGATCTCCGTGAGTTCGAGGCCAGCCTGGTCTCCAAATTGAGTTCCAGGAAAGGCGCAAAGCTACACAGAGAAACCCTGTCTCGAAAAAAAAAAATTATGGATAATATTTTTATTACATTATGTGCTTATTCAAAAGAAATTGCATTTCTGAAAATGTCAAAGTGGATAAATGAAACAATGAAGAAAGTTAATAAGTTATTATGGTAAAATATATTCTCTAGAATTTTATGCCTACTGAATAATAATTAAATAAACAACTCAGTATATTCATAAACAGACACTTTCTTGAAGGTAATATAGCACTTTTCTAAAGATTAACAGAAAAAAAGTATCTCACAGGGGGGTATTATATGACATTTACTTAAAAAATCAATTATGTTTCTTATAAAGTTGAAAATCAATGAAAAAGAAAATTAAAAATTCCTTAATGCTTTCCAAATAGTATATGGAAACATGACACCCATCAGGGTAGATATATTAAAATAATAATTATTCTGATATCACTGAACATGTTATTCACTATGTTCACTGTACAAAATTTCTGTGTCTAGTGCTAAGGTATGTAAAGCTTTTAAGAAAAGGTAATTGTATAAACTGAACTCTCGATACTCAATAGAGTCTTAAGACTCTATTTTAAGTAAACACAAAATAGAGTATTAAGGTACACAATATTTTGGGGAACACAATACCACCACATTTCCTCTCTTTTTGTCTAAAATTAAAGAAAGCTTATATCTAATACAAGAAAAACTATCTAATAAGTATATACAATATATACAGCCAAAAATTACATTAATGATGTCTAGTCCATTAACATTTGACAGATTCAGATGAAAACTCCATTATATATATTAACAATGTCCAGTCCAGTAACATCTGATAAACTCAGACCAAAAATTTTTCATTACTTATTTTATTTAAAACAAGTAGTTTCTTTTTATTTCTGTTAATTTTGGAATTAACTCTAACCTGTTTTCCTTGATTTCCACCACCTTGATGTTTCAATACTACTCTAACCACCTCTTGGTGTCTCAGCTAAGAACGCCTGTCTCAGTTCTGCCTGGAAATCCACCACAGGAACTTGCTGCTGCTGCTGCTGAGAACGTCTTGGGTACAGGTGACACCTATAGCAAGAGCACAATATTTTTAAATTGCAAAAGACATTTACCTATGTAGCTAGCAGTAAGAATGACACTTTTATTTGAAAAGAGCCTACTTTAAAAAAAAGTCACCAGAAAAAGGCTAAGATTGCTATCTAGGTACTGAAATAACATTACACAATGAGTTAAGCAGTGTATAAACCAAAAAGGGATTTCTGACCACAACAATGAACAAGTATGTGGATGTATCTTAGAGTGGTCATATAGAAACTATCAATAATATATGAACTCCAATTACATTATGTGAAAACCATACTTTCCAATTACATTATATAAAAACAATACTTTCAACCCTGTGATCAGGCAAGGGATTTGCTAAAAGAGTTACAAAACATTAATGAGGTCATTCCTATTTATCCTCCCAAGAAGATACTACCTAATACACTTATCCTCAATATCAAGAGAGGCAAATGGGAAAATTATGCCATTGCCCCAACTCATTTTCCTTTCCCAACCTATCATACAGTATTTATACATAATATAGAGATCTGAGGAAAACTCAATTTCTTTCTCCTTCAAAATCATCAAAATGCCAAGTTTTGTCACACATGCCTGCAATACCAGCAAGCAGGGAGGACAGACAAGTGGACTGACACAAGCTATTGGTAATGAGTTTATATAGTGAGTTATGGATGAGCTCAAATGAGCAAATGAGACCCATTAATTATCAAAGCATCTAGAATGTAGAAACAATAGAATCAGTTCAAGATCAGCTTGTGCCATGGCAAGAACCTGTCTCAAAACATGCATATACACAAGCACACACTCACACATATACATTAAAATAAAAAATGAGTTGGAGAGTAGTTAAGAACACTTGTTGCTCTTAGGACTAGTGTTCAGTTTCCAACATCCACATGGTGGCTCAAAACCTTCTGTTAACTCTAGTCCCATAGAGCCAGATGCCCTCTTCTCATCTTTCTGGATACCAGATACATACATGGTGCAGACAGGCATGCAGGCATACCGATACATATAAGATAAAAATAAATCTTTATAAAATATATCCCATATATTTGATACCTGAAAAAACCTAAGTTCATCCCAACAATGAAAATGAGATTTTGGCTCAGTCATCTGTTACTGCTGCGCAGAATTTAAAGTAAAACCCAACAGTCACTGAGGTAATGTCTCAGGACTATAATGCAAGTACTGGGGAGGCAGAGACAAGATGATTGCCACAGTTTGAGGTCAACCTGGTCTACATAGTGAATTGTAAGCCAGCCAGGGCTACCTGGTGAAACTGCCTCCAAGAAACAAATGAAATCAGATATATGTTATGCTACAGCATACCAATAATACTGAAGCAGGTCGCTGTGATTTCCAGCTCAAGGCCCATCTTAGCTACATAGTGAATAACAGACCAGTACCCTGCTCCTCAAAACAAAAGAAAATGGTAGATTCTTTCCCACTAGCATGAGGCTTCTCTAACAGAATATTGCCTAAGTATAACAAATCCTAAAATATCTCTGGAATAATCCTTTTTCAAATCTTTGGATCTATAAATGACTGAATTGAAGGAACCACACTAAAGAGAGTAAAATATTTATCAGAAATATTGTTTTGTTTTCAAGACAGGGTTTCTCCGTGTAGTTTTGGTGCCTGTCCTGGATCTTGCTCTGTAGACCAGGCTGGCCTCAAACTCAGAGATCTGCCTGGCTCTGCCTCCTGAGTGCTAGGATTAAACACATGTGCTACTAGTGCCCGGCTCAGAAATATAAATATTAATGTTTACAAAATAATCCTTCCAAAGCAATCTGCAAAATGAAAATCTAATTTAAAAGCACAATAAGAATGATTTTTAAAAAGGAGGAAATAGCCATGCAGGCAGTGGTGGTCCATTCCTTTAATCCCAGCACTCAGGAGGCAGAGGCAGGCAGATCTCTTAGTTTGAGGCCAGCCTGGTCTTTAGAGTGAGGTCCAGGATAGTCAGGGCTATACAGTGAAACCTTGCCTTGAGAAAACAAACAAACATACAAGCAAACAAAAAAAAGAGAGAGAACCTGGGCAGTGATGGCGCACGCCTTTAATCCCATCACTTGGGAGGCAAAGCCAGGTGGATCTCTGAGAGTTTGAGGCCAGCCTAGTCTACAGAGTGAGCTCCAGGACAGGTACCAAAACTACACAGATAACCCCTATCTCGAGAAAAAAAAAAAAGAGAGAGAAAATAAGAAAACCTTGGCTCCCATCAGTTGTTTAAAGTGTGTAACCTTTCAACAACTATTTACATATGTATGAACAAATAAAAATAAGACACAAAATGTTACCATGTTGCCTACTATCTACAATTAAAAATAAATCCTGTAATATAAAGGATGTGAAAAAAGCATTAACAAATCATATTTGTGGTAACTGCCCACAAATGCAAACAAAACAAATATCAAGTAGTCTAATAAGAAATAACTGTTACACCAGGCAATGGTGGCATACACCTTTAATCCTAGCACTTGGGAAGCAGAGGGATATCAGAGTCTGAGGTCAACCTAGTCCACAGAACAAGTTTTAGGGCAGTCAGGACTACCCAGAGAAACCTTGTCTCAAATCAAAAAAAAAAAAAAAAAGAAATGTTACTATACTATTTATACCCTGCATTCAATAAAATAAAGCCAATATGGAAAGATAGCAAATGTATACTGTTAAGAACCAAAAATCTAAACTTTCCTCTTACACAGCCACACAAGCACACATGTGAATTTCAAGATAACGCCCTGAAATGATACCAATTAGTGATTATCTCTATAGAAAACAGAAGACTGAACTGGTAATAACTTTGAGACTCAATTTTGAGTTAATATATCAATATTCTGTGTATATTAAAGAGATTTAGACTATCTAAAGACTTAAATTTCAATATTTATATATATATACAATTTATGTGTGAATATGCATCAAAAATTCATTAAAGCTGGGCAGTAGTGGCACATGCCTTTGATCCCAGCACTCGGGAGGCAGAGCCAGGCAGATCTTTGTGAGTTTGAGGCCAGCCTGGTCTACAGAGTGAGATCCAGGAAAGGCACAAAGCTACAGAGAAACTCTGTCTCGAAATACAAAACATCCATTAAAATATTTTTAAAAGTTTAGCTGGCTAAGATCTACTAATCAAAGAATCTAAATATAGCCAGGCATGGTATTGTACAAATGCACCAGCACTTTGGATGTGGAGAAGGCTCAAGAGTCAAGATCATATTCTGCTTTGTGATGAAATCAAGGGCAGCACAGACTATCCATCTCAAAACAAAAGCAAACAAGAATGTTTAAAATATTATAAAGGAAGAGAAAATGTGTAAATTATTGTCCCATCAATGCAGAAAAAAAGCATTTACAATACAAAATGAACAACATAAAATAACTTAGATAAGGGGCTAGAGAGACGGCTCAGGGGTTAAGAGGACCTGGGTTCAATATCCAGTACCTGTGTTCAATTCCCAGCACCCACATGGCAGCTCACAACTGTCTGTAATGAATCCCAGGGGATCCAACACCCTCACACAGACATATTTGCAGGCAAAACACTAATGTACATAAAGTAAAAATAAATTTTTAATATTATCCCTTTAAAAAATAAGATATTTATATGGTGAACAATATAAAATTCTAAAGGTAAAACTCCCTTACACATGCAAAAATAATGAGAGCATTTTCATAGAATGTATGAAGCCCTAAGTTTAATTCCTATATCACAAAAAAAAAGAAGAAAAAGAAGCAACACTTCTATAATTGAAATATCAGAGAAAAGGTCATGTTACAATGAAGAACAGAGTTAAAGAGCCATGTGCAGTGGTGCATGCCTTTAATTCCAGCACTCCTGAGGTGGAGAGCAGGTGTATTTCTATGAGTTCAAGCCAGCCAAGGCTGCACAGTGAGACCCTGTATCAAAAATTAGTAAAGAAATGATAGAAGTTGATTTAAGTTAGGACAATATAATTAAGAATTTAATTATTGTGTTTACATCTTCAGTTGTACTGGGTACTCAATTAATGTCATTATAATCTCTCCTTTGTATGACACTTTTCTGTGATTTGGGTCAAAACCCAGACTTTACATACTCTTGGTTGCTCAGGGAGGCAGTCCTTCTACGTTTGACCTGGACTTCTACCTCTGGTACGTGCTGTTCAGTAGTTCTTCTCAGGTGTAAGCGATCCCTGAAATAGGAAAAGAAAGATTTAATAAATGCATTAGTTTATGAAACAAAATTTTATTGAAATGGTTTTTTTTAGGATTGAGACTTTGGGACTGGGTCTCAGATTTCTTGCCTAGGAGACAGGAAGCCCTGTGCTCCATTCCCACCATTGCATAATCAGGGGTGGCGGCACATGCCTGTAATCTCAGTACTAAGGAGATGAAGAGAGGGGTACCATAAATTTGAAGTTCAAGGACATCCTCAGCTACCTAGAAAATTTTGGGTCAGTCTAGGCTACATGAGTCCTCATATTAAAAAAATAAATATAGGATTGATAAAATAGCTTAGTAGGTAAAGGTGACTGGCAGCCACTAATACAAACCAGATAATCAATGACTGATCCCTGAACCCTTGAAAAGGTGGAAGGATAGAATCTACATGTGCCATAGAATGCATGTTGCCCTTCTCTACACACACACACTAATAATAAAATTAAATATAAAAAGTTTGAATGAAAAAAGGGCTTCATTTAGAACCTTTTATCTTTAGTATACTGAGTATTAAGACATATTCATAATTTAATTGAAACAATTAAAATTATGGCAGGGTGTACCTTTATATAAAGTCTTGGGAGGCAAAGGCAGGAAGAGCCCTCTAAGTTCAAAACTAGTCTGTTCTACATATTGCGTTTCCAACAAGCCAGGGCTAATATGAGGTCATTTCTCCAACAATGGAGTGATCAAAACAAGGAAAAATGTAAAATGTTAGAATTACTTTATATTTAAAAGTATTAGAATCTCTAATTTAGCATCAGAAAATCTGGATTTAAAGATCAGGAAATGAAGTAAAATCTATTCAGCTCCTACTATATTCTCAAACATATATGCAGATGTAAAACACACACATATACACAAACACGTGCGTGTATGCACACACAATCACATATAAATACACAGACATATACAAATACGCACTAGCCAAAAATAGCAAAGCTGACTCCAAATAATAGGGAAAATATTTTTAGATCATAATTCTTTTGTATAGCAGACTAATGAAGCATAAAAAATTAATTAATGAAGCATTGTGAAATTAATTAAAATTAATTGTATGCAAATGTTGCAGTCTTGGGGATTCACAAAGAAATAAGAGGGTTGCTTAAGCAAAATGCTATCAAAAAAAAAAAAAAACACTACCATGTTAAGATCTGGAAACACTTTACAAAATGGCTGTTCTGTCAAATTGAAAAATTGACAGCCTCATGGTGGCCATGTTAGGAACTGCGGGAATCATTCATAAGACTGAAATTAGATATACAAAACCAGAAAAGATAAATGAGAAGGCTTTTGAAAAGTTAAGAAAGACTCTCAAAAGCAGAATCCAAACGTCAACTTTCTGAATCCTACCTATTTTTTAAAAACATTGCATAGTAACATGGCACACACTTATGATACTAGTACTAAGGCAGGATTGCCACAGGTATTATGAAAAGCTGGACAGTCCCAAAACAAAGAGAGAAAAGACTGGTATATTATAATTGATTGAAGTCCAGTTTTAGAGCAAAACAAAACATAATCAGAAAAAATAAGAGCTGAAACTTTTAGAAATGATGGATAAATATACATGGCATTTCATATGACAGGCATACCTCAAAACAAAATCATTTTACATCTTGTATACAAAATAGATAAAAAATACAAAACCTGCTTTTAAATTGGGTAAGCAGTTTTCCTAATAACATATCAGCATATGAAATAAATGTTATATTATTAATCAGAGACATTAAAATTTTTAAATATATTGATATCATTTGATAATGACAGAGTACATGGCGCAGAGAAAGGTAATGGAAATGTAAAGCTGTACTAAGCCTAGAGTAATTAATGAAAGTAGTACCAATGACAATCGAATAATGACCCTGCAATACCACTGCAGTGATGGAATAGTAAAACACCAACCTTGTATCATATATGTTCACCAGCAGTATTATCAGTAACTGCTAAAAAGTGTTAACATTTTAAATGTCCACTAAAGATGAATAAAACCAGATGTGATATTATATAGTAGAATACATTCATTTACAAACAGAAATGTAGAACTGATCCAAGCTGTAACAGTAGACTCAGAAATATATTTGATAATTTAATATTCTGAGACAGGGTCTCTCACGTACTCTAAGCTGTCTTTAAATTTACTATAAAGCCAAAGAAGGCATTGAACTCCTGATTCTGTTCTGTTGCATAAATCTTAGTGGTAGAATTGCAGTGGTTTAACTATTGCTAGGGTTACAGGTGAGTGCCAGCAGGTCCATTTTATAATTGATGAATAGAATATAACCTACCAACCAAATATGAACCCCAAATTCTGCAATTGGAAAGAACATTGTCAAAAAATCTATAGTTTCTTATCATTTCCTATGAGTTCCTCAGTGTGAAAAAGGCTCAGTTAAGTCATCAATACAAAAATATTATTATTTCAATTTTCTAAATCTAACATATATAATCATATAAGAAGTTTATTTTGAAAGTAAAAACTTAAATCCATGCATAGTTGCTCACATCTGTGTTTCAAAGTACTAGAGAAGGAAAGAGAGGGGTGGATCACCAGCTCCAGCAGTCTAGGATACTTACCATGTCTGAAATTAACGTAGATTATGCCAGAATCCAGTCTCAAATTTTAAAAACATGTTTAATAAAATATAAAAATGCAGTAATTTGGTTCATTATTCTTTCAAATTTTCAGAGTAGTTTCAATTTCAAGTCATGAAAAATATCATTAACTTAATACATCATAAGAATTATTCATGAGGAATAATTCTTATACCATGCACACCCCTGATTTCCTAATTATTTTCTTCTCTTGAAAAAAATACAATTTATAGTATTAGCTGTTATGGATTTGAGTAGGTAGGTCCCTTGATGGCATGTCCCTCATCTTTGTTGGGATGATGCTCCTATCTCTCAGTCAAAAATATCACTGTGAGCGAGAATGGACTATCAAAACATTAAGAATGGATGACATAATACTAACATTGAGGCAACTGTTAATTATTAAATCTGGACAATAGAAATCAAAGGGAATACACGGGGCTGAGAACTGTTTAATGAATTATTGCCTTAAAAATAACAAATCTGACTACATACGAAACAGTAGACAGATATTAAAAATATATGAGCATTAAACACAAATACAAATTCCATACCCAGCAGGAAAAGCTGTTTTAAGCACCACCAGTAGGTCCTGGGCTGTCTGTACTGTTCTAAACTCTCACCCACCTATTCTACTGAAAAACAAAAAGATAAGGAAGACACTGACACACAGGAACAGGTCATACGAACCTTTAGCCTCTATTCATGATTCCAATCCCCCACCCCTCACGCCTTCTATTACCAAAGGTAATGGAAAACATAGGACCAAGCGTGTGAGAAGGAGCCTGCGCAAACCAGTCTCCTTCCTCCCTCCCCTCCCCATTGCGACACTGCAGGAAAGGAGGGGCAGAGAGGAGCTGCTAAAGCACTAGCTTAAGGATATGGCTGCCATGTCCTCCACGCCAATACTGCGAAATCCTCAGCTAACTCCCTTCTAGCCTCAATGCAGGCAGAGGTGGGTGTCCTCCATAAGGCATCTGGTTTCCTGTGCCCACTGTAGTACTTTGGGTGGGGGGAGGGGTAGTCACCCGAAGTAGACAACAGTACTCGCAGTCCTGAGGAGAGGGTGTGGCTGAAATTCCAACACTGCAGAACTGATGAGCAGGTGGTTCAACGGGTGACCGCAGTGACTATCAGCGAAGTGGGGAGGGGTCTACTGCCCCCCCCCCATGCACCATGCTGCGCCTGCGCACACCAGCACCTCTGCAGCAGCGGCCATCTTTAGGGAACCTCACAATGGCGTTTGACACAGGACACGACCCCTTGGTAATACCAAGACTTTCAGAGATTAAATCCCGAACACCAGGAAAAAGGATAAAACCAAAATTCACATTGTCATGTTACCGCTACAATTCAGGGCGTGGGTAAAAGCAAGTTTTGCATACATTTCACACATTAACCACTGCAGGGAGGAATGGTTGACTATGTCAAAATAAACAAGAAAACAGAACACTGCGGCTCTCACCACTATCTTGTATGCAGGGAACAATTCTACAGAACGATATGCAGCCCAATTGCCAAAGAAGATTTCAAGAAAAAAATCCTTTAAGCTGAGGTCGGGCCATCCAGAAAGGTCTGTTCCCACCCCTCCCCCTCTAATACAGCTGCATTCCAGATCCACCCCTACCTCCCCTCCCCCTGCGAGCCCCACCCTGGCAGAGCCTGGAACAGCGCTGCCTCTGCACTGCGGGGTTTCTTCACACACCCAGCTACCTCAGTTCTACCAGACATGGCTCTGCAACCCCCTCTACCCACGCGTCAGATTTCTGAGGCCCCAAACCACGGTGATTCATAAGCACTCTGGCCACCCACAACCTGGCCATCCCATCATTTCTCTGATCCACAAGTATCTTCTTGCCGCAAAACCACACGCCCATGGAAACAGTCGCAGCGGTCACAGGGCGAACCACCTGCTGGCCGCAGACTGTTCTCACCTGCCCTCAGTGCCACAGCCGCCTACCTACCCTGCCCATCTCTCCTCAGTGCTGGCCTCGGAGTGTGCTCGCTTTCCGTCAGTGCCGCCACTCCGGCCGCAAACGATGCTGGCCTTCCATCAGTGGCGCGGCTGCGGACAGTGCTAGCCTTCCCCACGTGCTGCGCGGCAGTGGATCGTGGTCATCTTCCCTCAGGACCACAGCCACCTAGCCTACTCAGCTTCGCTCAATGCTGACCTGGGATCGTGCTCACCTTTCCTCTGTGCCGCGGCTCAACTTCCCTCAGTGACGGCTGTGTACCGTGCCAAGGGTTGGGGATCGTTCTCGCCCTCCCTCCGTGCCGCAGCCGCGGACCTTGCTCACCCTTTCTCAGTGCCGCGGCCGGACCCTCCTCTCCCTCCCTCAGTGCCGCGGCCGGACCCTCCTCATCCTCCCTCAGTGCCGCGGCAGCAGATCCTTCTGTCCCTGCCTAAGTCCTGTGGGCGCTGATCATTCTCGCCCTCCCTCAGTGGCGCGGCCACGGACCCTCCTCACCCTCCCTCAGTGCTGAGGTCGCTGATCGCTCGCCCTCAGTGTCGTGGCCGCCGACCCTGCTCGCCCTCCCTCAGTGCTGAGGGCACTGATCTTGGTCGCCCTCTCTCAGGGTCGCAGCCGAGGACCCTGCTTGCACTCCTTCAGTGCCGCGGCCACGAACCCTGCTCGCCCTCCCTCAGCGCCGCGGCCGCGGATCTTTCTCGCCCTCCCTCAGCGCCGCGGCCGCGGATCTTTCTCGCCCTCCCTCAGCGCCGCGGCCGCGGATCTTGCTTGCCCTCCCTCAGCAGCGGCCGCGGATCAAGCTCGGCCTCCTCAGTGCCGCAGTGGCAGGGCGCGGCAGCCCAGCTCCCTCATCCTGGAATCCAGTTACCACTATCACAGCACTGGTAGTAGCTTACAGCACAAATGCTAAAGTAGACCCCTCCCTAAATGAGTCCGTCAAACGGCTCCAAAGGATTCCTCGCTGATTCTCAAAAATAGACGTATCTGGCTGATTTTTAAAAATCCCCAAATCTATACTGTTTTGGTCAAAACAAAAACGCAAACTCCTTGACAGCTAAACAAAAGCCATCGGCCCAACTGACCTTGCTCGCTCCATCGCGTTGAAATCGCTCCTCAGAACCAAGCGTCAGACATCTCCAGCTCCCTCTCCTCTCTACGCCAGACTTGCCGCAGTGGCTCAGGTTTATCTCACAGCTCCCTACGCATGCGTCCCACCCAATGACGCACATGCGCACATTTTTTGCCGCAATGCAGGGATCTCACTGTCCCTCTGACCGGAATGACCTGTTAAGAGATGGCTATCGGGCCCCCAGCATTCCTGCTACAGTAACTTGAGCGAGTATTTTAGAAAATAGCCATCAACATGGACTCATGGACACAATTACCTATTTTTAAATACTTTTAAAATAAAAATAATTTTTAGTTTCCTAGTTGTTGCAAGCAAGCATCACTGTTTAATAGATCATGATTTAAAAACAACGAGGTTTTTACTACACGTGATTTTTAAAAAGGAGTTTTCATTATCAGTATTCAAGGGATTGTGATTCCCAGGCTATAATGTCCTACATATTGAGACACATTCTTTAGAATGATGATTTAGAAATGAAACCCTTTAGAGAAGAAAATTACCCTGACTCTTAATTCTACATTTTTAAATGTAATATTTGATTTTGTTCTTTCTGTTTTCTTGGGGACAACTGTGAAAATACTTCCTCCAAATCATAGTGCATTTAATAGAAGCAGGGGCATTTAGTTATGAACCCTATCAGGGTTTTTTTGGGGGGGTGGGGTGTATTTTTTTTGTTTTGTTTTGTTTTTGGTTAGGGCTTTTGGAAACAGTGTTCTCTGTATAGCCTGTATAGCTCTTAAATTGGCTCTGTAGACCAGGGTTGCATCAAACTGCTCGTGTCCCCTCAGTGCTGGAATTAAAGGCATAGGCTACCACTATCACAACCCAGCTCTATGTGCTTCTAAAAGAAGACTCCAAGTAAAAATCACAAGTGAGAAATTCCCTTGCCTGCTAAATTTTGATACATTCAGAGTATTACTAAGAAACAAATATATGACCTCAGGCCCTGATAGTGATGAAACTCTGTAAACCCTGTAATTACAGATCAATGGAGACTTGTGTAGCAGGGGTTTTTTTGGTTTTTTTTTTTTTGTTTTCTTTTGTTTTTGTTTTTGTTTTTTTGTTTTTTTTGGTTTTTTTTTTTTGGTGTTGTTTTTTATGGGCACAAACCCAGCATGGGAGACATTATCAGAAAACCTCATGTAAATTGTAGATATATATATCTGTATATATGTCAGTAATTTTGTACCTAATAATACCCTGTCTACAACTGTAAATGCATTGTTGTGCTGTTAACTCCAATATGCAGGTATTTTGTTGTTATGCAGGAAAAGAAAACATCAAGTACAGAAAATAAAAGAAGCTACATTACATAATGTTTAACATACCTTTACACTTTCTTGTTGACCATCTTCAAGAACTGTTGGTGAGCTATTCTAATGGATATTATGTAGCAAAGGTTATCTCCCTGTTTTCTTCCCAGTGAACTATAGTTCAGTTCCCAAACATCCTATATTCATCTTGAATGACAGTCAGTTTTATGTTTAACAATAACCTGAACTTTTGAAAACAGGTAAAAAAATTTATTGACATAAAAGCAAAAAAATTAAATATTCCTGGTACAAATGATAACCTACTTGATTGAGTGATACAAAACTGTCAATATGTAGAGTTAGATATGGAAATCATTTGCCTACCAAGGATGAGGCCTCAGATATATCAAAGCAATTCTAAACAATTTTCAATAATTTTTAATCTACCACTTTTATTAATTTCTAACTATTTGTATATAAAATGGTTTTGAAAGTTGACTACATTAGGAACAACTTACAAAATAAAATGTAAAAGTAACTAACAATATATACCATGAAGATTTGTTTACCTACTGCCTTAAAATTAAGAAAGTGTATATACATAGTGTTGAAATTCATGCCTTTGAATTCAGTCTCTTTTGATTTAAAATATATCTGTGATACTTGGTCAATGTGTTCTGGCAAAGTTCTTAAATATTTACACAGTGGTCTGAATATTAGAAGACTTAACATAAACATTTAAAACCAATCCTAACATAGACTATTAGCACTACAATGCATTTCAGTGGAACCTCATCTGGGAGCAAGGGTTCTTTAAACATTTGTTGTTATTTTTGTCTTATGTCTTAATCAGAATATGTACAACATCACATATTATATTGAATAACCATTAATCATTTTTCTTGGATTTTCACATGGATATGACAATTTGAATGTTGTTGTTTTTAACTGTACTTTCTATGGTTTTCAATACTCACAAGCTGCTTTACCAATGAAAATATAAGGATTAAGGCATATTTAAATTCAGCTTAAATATTGATTGTGTAACTTTTGATCCTTATTTTAACATTTATTGATCTTTTGGAATTCTAATTGTACTACTTATAAATACCTACATTACAAAGTGAGCTTTGTAACTGGTGTGATAGAGATGGAAGCTGGAGGATCAGAAAGGAGATCAAGGTGGGCTTTTATTTTATAAAGGACATAAAAAAAGAGGATTTAAGATTCTAGAAAATGCCTAATAAGCTTTCCAAACAGCACAAAAAAATCATGATGTTTAGCTCACTTATCGACTCAAAAATAATAACATTAATTATAGGTTTGAATTAGCATGTTCTTTAAAGACAAAACAGCAAGATTTTGTCAGTAAAATTTATCTGAATAGATTACTAGATTCTACTGTATCTTTAATCATTTGATCATTTCAAACATAAACACTTAACCCTCAAGCCAGACTGTTAGGGATATGGTTATGAGCTTTTAGGACACCAAATCTGACTTAAAAATATTTTTAACAGTATTGACAATAGAGAACTTGTAGAATCTGATCAAGACTCCTACAGCACATTAAATACAAACGTTAAAATGGGTAATACCTACAGAATTTAAAATATGAATAACTTAGAAGAAAATCAGTGCACATTTCTGCTAACTTAGATTATTAGATATGACAGCTAAAACGAAAACAATAAAAAATAACAGGTAAACTAGATTCCATTAGTTACATAAGAGATTTTCTTTCAAAGGACAGTCTTCAAAAAGTGAAAAACCAATGCAGGGCAGAAGAAATCATGTGCCAAAAAACAAACTGATTAATGTATAATATTCAGAATATTCAGTGAAGTAATAAACTCAAACATCCCTGTTTTTTTCAGAGGGAAAGTATTTAAATGGAAGTTCTCACACACAAGATTTAAAAATTGTCACTCAGATAAACACATGAATAGATACTGTTGTCAGTCATTGTGGAAATGCTAATGAAAACCACAAATAGAGACTACTTAGGGAAAATCAAAAAGACAATAGAGAAGGGCTAGGAATGTAGGAATGGAGCTGGTTGGGGGTAAATTTTGTTTTTGTTTTTCTCAGGCAGGTTCTTAATCTATCCCAGGTGTACTTAGAAAATCCTCTACAGCTCTAACGGGGGATTGTTAAATTTTTCCACTTGGGGGAGATCTTGAGACAGGGAATGTCCTAGGTTGGAATTCACCATGTATACTATGCCAAATTGAATTAGGAATTATGTGGTGCTGGAAGTCAGAGAACTTTACAAGCCTTTGGCTTCAAAGCAAAACCCCATCTGTTGTTTTTTTATTGTTTTTTAGATAGGGTCTCACTATGTGGCTCTTACTGGTCTGTAACTTGTTGTGTGACCAAGCTGGCCTCAAACTCCTACTGTGCTTCCAGTCCTATCATTATAGATATGCTAACACAAGGCCCCGGGCAGCTGGGTGGATATTTAGTGCACTTGTGTATAACTAAGAGAAAGGACCTGAAAATTTACTACAAGCTGAAAAGAATGTAAACTAATGCAGCCACCTTAGACTAAAAACACAGCGGTTCATTCCTGTTATCTCAGGAAATGGGAGGCAGGAAGTTTACCATCAATTAAGATGTCCCTGAAGTAAACACCATGTTCTAGCTTAAACTGAACAACAGAGTGAGGCTGTTTTCAAAGTCACAACAAAACAAAATTGAATGACTTTGGCACTGACTTCGTCAATCCTGAAAAAACTAACCGTTAAGTTGCCAAAAGACCTGCATTTCAAACTAGGCATGGTGATTCACCCTACAATGCTAGTTCTTGGGTAAATTTCTATGCAGGTAAATTTCTATGAGTACCAGCCAAGCCTGAACTACACAGTAAGACTCTGAAGAAAAAAAGAAATAAAGTTCAGCAAGGGGGAAGGCATGGTACACACCTATAATCCTAGTACCAAGAAATATGTCAGTGGAGGACTGTGAGGGAGAGATTATGTTGGCCTTTAGTAATTTGAAGACTATGAATGCACATGTTGAACAATCAAAAGAACTGTACACTTGTCTGCCTACTTAAATCTCCAATTGAAATACAAATATATGTCCATGAAAAATAAATATTTATCAATTTTTAGCAAACACTTCATGGTAGTCACAGATAAAAATAACTCAAAGTCAATCAAATGATAAAAGGTTAAAGTTATAAGAGCTAAGATTACAGATGTGAGCAACAATGCTCAGGTTGAATTGTAACCCTATAATCCCAGTTCTTAAGAATTAGAGACAGGCATCAGTTCAAGGGCATCTTGTCCATATAGTAAGTTCCCTGAAAATCAGTGTTATATACCTTGTCTCAGAGAGTAAGCAAATCAATAAATAAATTAAATAAAGGACCAATTGTGCCATACACCTTCAATGCCAGGACTTAGGTGGCAGAGGTTGTTGGACATCTGTGAGTTTGAGGCTAGCCTGGTCTACATAGCATGTTCCAGGCAGTGAGAGTTACAAAGCAAATCTCCATCTAAAAAGCAAAATCATTTGGTAGAGTTTTACTATGAGGCCCAGGCTTGTACAAAGTCTACTATTTGATGTTGAGCACCACATAAACCATAAAAGGTAGGACATGAATGTGATCCTAGCAGTTAGAAGTTATAGACAGGTGGATCAAAAAGTCTAGGTTATCCTTGCTACACAGGGAATCTGGGGTCAACATGGGACACATGAGATATCTATAAGCAAAAAAAGAAAAAAAAACTAAATTAATTGAAATATGCCTTCTGTGTGATGTGAAATCTGAACTTTCCTCATAACCACATGCCATTCTTGATACAGAAACACTAGGTATTCATCTGGATACATTATTAACAGTCCCTA